CCAAGTTGATTTATGAAAGAAATCCACTTCAGTCTTAGCTGCTCTAAAACTAGCTGTTAGTTTTTTAGTTGAATGAGTTATCAGCTGTTCTGGCAAGTTGAGGTTGTTCAAAGAGCTATCCACAACAAGTAAGATGTTTACCGCTCAAAATATAAACACCTAACGTGCCGTAAGATGTACAGAATATTTCTTTAGACTCCTCCTACCTCACCCAAACGTTTCCTCATTCATGAGCATATCAGCTCGCTCTCTTTTTTCTATTTTGAAATACTTTGTCTCCTGAAAATGGGCCTTTGAGAGCTTTAAAACAAACCAGACTGATTTTAAAATGGCCTGTATGATGCCAGGGGACTCATTTAGGGCCAAACTGCTGCTTGTGTTGGGCTTCAGTCCATAATTAGATCAGAACACACGTGCTTGTGTTGCGCTGTCGGCCCACGAGGACCAGCACAGCTCCGGCGTCACTCTTGTGTCGGAAACACTCACTGAGCCTCTCAGTGTGAGCAGAGGAGCCTCATTCACCTCGTGCTCGTATCAAAACACATTTATTGCACTTTAATGTGGCACCTCGTTTATGTTCAGCCGAAGGGCCTGAGATCTGCAGAGGCCATGGAGAGCTGACATCTGCTTCCAACTCTCCAAACTCTTTTTCAACTTTAGCTTTTCCCCACTTCATCACCTCGTCGTACTTCAGCTCGATTGCTGTCCCCCCCCCCCCCCCCCCCACTGTTGCCCCTTGCCTTTCTCTTTTATTGATCATTAGCTGGTGTTGGGAAGACGGAGGAGGTTTAATTATGAAGCCAGACTGGTCTGTCAATTTTACTCAGCGCTGCGTGGAGAGCAGCAGACCAAGCGATGGCCCTAATAGGGCTTCACACGGTAAACAACACGCACACCTGGACAGCAGCGAGCCTCGGGGAGAAACGAGGGAGGGAGCAGTTAGCTCTGATAAAAGAAGAAGTTTGACTTATTCTCTCATCCACAGCCTGGGACTGGGAACTCAGCTTTCTGTTGCTCCCAACAGGTAAATGATGACAAGCTGGGTGGGGGAGAGAGATTAAGTGTGAAATAAAAACAGCTAGAGGAATTGAATTTCCTGTGAAAATAGTGTGCATGCGTATTGCTGAAGAACTTGCTGAGAAACAGCTGAAATTAGCTAAAAACATGCTGAAATGAAGCTGAAATGGAAGAACAAGCCTACGTTAGCAGAAGAAAGCAGAAAGAACACATAATTACTGAATTATGTTTAAATAAGCAGAAATGAGCACAACAATTAGTAAATTAGCAAAAAAATGCTGAAAAGTTGCTGAAAAGGCAGAAGGAAGGTTAAACTAACAGAAAGAGCTGAAATGAGCTAAAAAGGTGGAATTAGCTAAAAAAAAAAAAAAACTAAATGTAGCACAAAACAACAAAACAAAGTAGCTGAAATAGCAGAAAAAGCTGAAAATAGCAACAAAAAAAGCTGAAAGGAGCATAACAAGCTGAAATTATCAGAAAGTAATTAATTAGGCTGAAAGCTGCAGAAATTATCACAAAAACTTGAATTTATCTGAAAATAGATGAAATTAACTAAAAATGCTTTTAAAAAGTAGCTGAAAAGGTAGAGCAAGCTTAAATTAGCAGAAGCAGAAAGAATGCATGGTTGCTGAAAGAAGCAGAAATGAGCACAAAAAGGTGGAAACTATCTGGAAAAGAATGAAATTAACAAAAAATAAACAGCTGAAAAGTATCTTAAAAAGCAAAACGAAACTGAAATTACAAGTAAGTGGAGAGAGCACATTTTTCTGAATTAGGCTGAAAAAAGCTCATGAGTACAAAAAATGTGGAAATAGCTGAAAAAGTTTAAATTAGCATAAAACAGGAATACATAGCTGAAATAGTAGAAAAAAGCTTAAAGCTGCAGGAATAAGCTGAAAGGAGTATAACAAGCTGAAATTGGCAGAAAGAAGTTAGAAGAAGCAGAAAAATGTTGTAGTTAGCAGAAAGAATCTGAAAGGAGCACAAAACAGCTGACATTAGCTGAAAATAGCTGAAAAATCTTTAAATATGGACAAGGAAGCTGAAAGAAGCTGAAGCAGAACAAAGTGTGAAAGGAGCAGTAAAAGGTTGTAAACAGATCTAAAGATTTGAAGGATGTAAAATGAGTTCAATTCAATTTTTATGAGAGAAAAAAGTGGCAGAAAGGGCTAAATATTTCAAAAAGCTATGGGTCCTCCCCCTGATAATTTTGAATAAAGTAGATGTGATTTCCTGCATTTTTGGTGTATTTTAATGAGTTGTTGAACATATACATGCCTGTAAAATAAATATATATATATATATATATATATATATATATATATATATATATATATATATA